CCCCAAAACCCCAAAACCCCAAAACCCCGGAGATCAAATGGAAAACTATTTATATATGTATTAATATCATTAAAAATTAATTGCACCACTAAAATCTTCAAAAATCAAATAGCTTTGATTTACCTTGAGAAAAAATTCATTTAAGTTTGGTGTATATGTTATATTTGCAGAAAAATCTTCAATTAACTTCTCAGACTTGAGGTCTGGTTTGGACAACATGATATTTTCCATCAAAGTACGCTCCTTCAATGTCTTGACTCTCCTAGTAGATATTTTCAATTATCATACCTATTCTTCCAACATTACTCATGAAATTCTCTCTAAACTGCTTGTCATTGATCAGTTTTTCTTAGTTATACTTTATTCTAAACTCAGAAGTTCCCATCATCGGGTAAGAATCAAAAAGACCAGCACCAGCAAAGCCAGGTAGATCTTCGCTGTTTGAATCACTTCTAAAGATATAGCCATTCGCTTTAATACCAATAGGCTTATTTGGATAAGCATTTACTTATGATTATTGAGTACCTTTATTGTAGGTAAAACTAAAAGCCTAACCAGGCATCTTGCTGACTAAAGCTTCACCCATTCCGAGGCAACTTTCAACATAGATCTCTGAATCTTCTCCGTTGGTTGGGTTAGAAGTATGGATTACATAAGCATACTCAGCTGGAACGACCTTCTATACAAGCACAGCCATATATACTGAATGAAGAGTTACTCCTATTTTCTTGGTTGCTAAGAATGCTCTCTCGTTAAACTTGCTGGCCCAGACCATTTTGATAGTTTTCCAAGCAATGTTAAAATCATTAGCTGGAATACCAAAAGCAAGTAATTCTTATTTTAAGTAAGCATGATTTGAGTCAGTTGCATTGAATTCAAGTTTAGTTACCAAATCTTTGCATCTCATTAGGATTCTGTTCATTTTATTCACACTCTTACAGCCATTGAGTCTATCGATGAGTGTATCTATTTCTTGTTGTATCTCTGGGTGTAACCCAAGTGTGTATTCCATCATTTTGAAAGGAATACAACCACTTTGTGGCAATTCTATCCATTTATCTAAACTATCTCTTAAAACTTTGATATTATTTGACTTTGCTCCCATATGCTCTGATGTGAACTCATTCAACTGGAGGAATGATTTAGGGAAATCATTTGGAGCCTTGACGTTTTTAGCGTTATCAATAATCGTTTATAGAATTAAAGAACTTGAAGCTCTTCTTGTGATTGGTGTATTAGGATTTTGTTCCTAGAATCTTACATTATGATTCTCTGAAGTCATAAAAATATGCTTTCCAACCAAGTTGTTTAGTTCTTTGATTTTATTGTCATCAAAGCAAACACTAAACATAACCTTAAGATTTCTAGCTCTAACACTCACGTGAGCCAACACATCGGGGTAATCAGTACCATCTACTAGTACAATAGCTTGAACATTGTCTGGCACCTCTTCTTCCCCACTGATCTTTTCACATAAAAGGATGGTTCTTTTTTAATATGAGTGATGCATTACCTCTTCTAAGTGCTTTACTTTTTCAACATATCCTCTGCTTCCATGTGACCTTCCCTAACTTATTATGAGCCAGTCACCTAAATGAGCGCAGTTTCTAATGTGCGGGTCAATTTTCTTTAAGATCATTGACAAGCTGAAGAATAAAGTTCCTCTAATTAACTCCTCAGCAAAAATCTTATAGGCGTACTGATCAATGTTGAATTCTTTGCCCAATGTTTCAGCCTTGCTTTGAATTAATGCTGTGTATTGATCATTGACTTCTCCTAGACTTTATTTTACTCTATCAACAACTGATTTAAGTTTACGAGCGTTGTCTTCATTCATACTTTTGCAGTTTGGCTGGACCAATTTATCCCAATCTTCTTTGCATACAGATAATTCTTCCCATTGATATGAAAGTACAAGATTACTTAGAATAATGGCTGCTTCTCTTATGTATTGATCAAAAGGTAGTTCAATATGAATGATTTTTTCTGTAAGTTATCTTAAATAGCCTTCTAATGCTAAGTCAAGGAAAATTATATCCTTAAGCTTTCTTTGATTGTTAAAAGTCATATGATTTTGATTGAGATTATATCTTAAACTTGACACTCTTTCCATTTATCTCAAAGTGTCGAAATCCCCATAATTTCTCATTACATCATCAATCATGCCCTTTGTATCATTTCCTAGGTGCTATTTAGCTTCGTTACTTAAGATTTCTAGATCACCTGATGAATGCATTTGTTTAAGTATCTTGAGATACTCCTCAAATGAACCTATTGCTTCCGGCTTATACCAAGGCTCGGTAGTAATTTTTCTCTCATAGGAAGCAAGTCTTTCCTTGCTTATTCCATTAGCAGTTAATACTTTCCAGTATTCACTCATCTAGCCTCCAGTCTTAAGGTATGCTAGTAATGCTTCGCAGATATAAATATCATCTGGAGTAGTATTATTATGAAGTTTCTAATGCCATTATTCATAAAAATGGCCTGCAGATTCTGAAATTTTATGAGCATGCATAATGTGTAGGATCTCATCTCTTACTCTTTAACCATTGCCAGCACCCTTACCGATCATTGAAAGCATGGATCTCAATAAATCAGCTGAAGTTAAGAATTAATTTCTGTTTTTATTTGCAGTTCTGACGAATTAGTTTACTATTTCGTCTGTGAGAGATAATTAAGCCCCTTATAGATCTTTTGGCTTTGTATTATAACTTTTCTACCATGTAAGCTATTTAGTGAAACTATATCGTAACCAAATGTACAAGTAGGCTCTATATATTTTGAGAAAATAAACTAACTTACACATGATCTCTATTGTCTTAATCGATTCTGTCTCTCAACATATCTTTGCATCTTCCATATCTATGCATTAAGGTCCATGATCCCTATCAATGAATATTTATATATAAAAAAGCTTACGTATTCAACTTCGCATTAAATAATTTCAGCCACAACATCCCCTATCTTTCCAGGGGGTAGGTTCTTATGCTTATGTGGGTGATTCTCCGGCTCTATTTCAAATTTTATGTGATAATCCTTGCCACCATTATTATACCACCTATTTTTCTTTTGCTCAAGTAGCACATAGCTAATAGATTTAATCGCTGGTTCAATATCTTGTATCCAAGCAAAGTCCATATGGATCTATCTCAGATCAGGGGTAGTGGAATCAACCATAAACTTAGTTTAGACAGCTTTTCCATCTCCCCACTTTTTAGTCTCTGGAGGTAAAAATTTGTCGTCTGCAGCTATCCATTCACATACCTACTTTTTTCCTACACCCCAATGAAGGACTAAGTCTTCAGCTCTATCTTTGAATTCAGCTATAAGATCTACCACATATTTATTCGTAATTTGAGTGTCTTGTTCATCATCGTCGTTCTCTTCGTCGTTTTTATCTTCTTCTTCGTCTGATGAAATGTCACTCAGAGTCTTTTCATACTTATCAGAAGCCTTTGTTGAATGGTTATTATCATAAATTGGCTATCCTTGCTAGTTATACTTATAGTGATTCACAAATACATTGACCTTTAAGTCATCTCTTACCTGTAAAAATCAGAATGATTAGATTTACGGGATTAACTTACAACTATTTCTTCCTTTATGAAGTTTGAGGAGGATCTTAGATTCTCAAGTCTTTGCAGAATGGGATCATGATGTTGATGATAAGAGGTATCAAGTGTCTGATTCTAGTTATTTGTACTTTCCATTTAAATTTTATATTGTTAAAAGATTTGTAAGGAATCTATCTAGCTGCTAATTAAAACTCTAAGTTAAAATATAATCAAACTATTTCTATTTACAAGTAATAAGTCAAAGTCAAACAAATCATTAATTATAAGCTGAGGAACTAACTCATATCCTTTATCTGAAAATTTCTCAAATTTATGTCCTCGTAATTGTGGTCTTTGTCATTTAATTTAGAGGATAAATATCCTTAATTTTATCTTCAAATTCTTTATTTTTCTAAGATTTTGTACTCTACTAGCTTCTGTGTTGCGACTTGCTTCTCTTAACTGGATTCTAAGTAGGTCTTCTAAACTCCTTCTCCTTAGTCTTCTTTTTAAAAACAGATGCTGTTGGAACATAAAGATTATCTATTATTTCCTTGAATTTTTCCTTTGTGTTTACACTACTAAGACTCATTATTGCATTATTACTGTTATTCGAGCAGGCTGAATTTTAATGCATTTTGTTTGAATTAAGATTGAGATAGCTTTCTTTTTTTTAATCATTTGCACTATAAACTTCTATAGGTCCCTTGTCTAAATTCAAATCTTCTCCTCTAGCAGTGACAGAGTTTGCTTTATTGATACGTTTCTCAGCTATAGCCTTCATTTACTCAACATCAATCATATATTATTGCACCCTTACTGGAGAGTTACACCTATTTTCATCAATCAATCTATTTAAACTCTGACTTAAAGTACTCTTGCGTCCATAAGCAAGAAACTATGGCACAGTCATCTGCTCATTGTTACTTAAAGTAATTATTGCGTTCTATCTGTGTACATTTACATCAGGGGAAGTCTTTAAACTAGTGCTAGCACTATTCATCAATTCACTTGATCTTGTAGAGATTTCGTTTCTTTTAGAAAGAGAGTCATGATTTCTATTATCTTAAGTTGACCTTTCTCTGCTCTTGGAGTAGAAATTATCTAACAGTAGAGACTAGGAAACTCTAGAAACCTCATTAGACGATTTTACTATATTTATGTTATTTAGCTTTTTAGAAGGGCTGTTCCTCTAAAGCTTATCAGTTTGAAGCAATTAACCATAATCATCATGCTTTTACTGTTAAATTTGCTAAGCTTAGGATCTTTCTTTTAGAAATGTCTGTGATCTTCTCATTTGGAAAATGTTTGATTGACGACTTTTCGCTAATTTATTGGTTGCTATTTATATTTCTCTCTATGATGGCTTACTGCTGGACACCTCTGATTTTTTATTAATAGAATCTCGAATCGTAGAGGTGTATAAACTACTTGGAGATCTTAGTAGCTCTTCAAAGGCAGCATTAGGCATAGCTTTAAGGACTTTAGGGACTTCAAGTTTGTTTGAAGTATGCAAGGACAAATGATTTTGACTTCGTTCATGATTCAAAGAATTATTTTTAAAGTTACTCAAACCTAGTAGGTTGTCACTTTTTTGCCTTCTTAGACCATCAGGACTTTGGGAAAATGTGGCAATTTATAATTGGATATCAATGAGCTTTTCCATCTCTGCAGTTCTTTGTTCATTGATAGCAAGCATTGATTTCCTTACTTTTTTTATCTAGTTATTTTGGGATCCGTTACTCGCCTGCTCTTATTAGGAATTAATTGAAATCTAATGATTGTCAAGCTCTTAATTATTGTGAAAATTTACTCGTCCTTTTTAGATTACAATTTTCTTGGGTCCACCTTTGAGGTTAAAATTTTCAACACTTATTGCATTTGAAGATTATCGTTCAAAATCTTCACTTTCTGAAGATTACTCCAATCTTTCTCTTAAAATTTCTCTTTAGTTCACATTTTAATCAAATTTTTACAATAATATGTTATCTGTCTCATAGTTTGGTAAACTTTTACGTGGACCTGAATGCTTATCAAATGTTTTACTCATCTGCACATCAGTCCTTTAAATAAACTGCTAATAGTTTGAGGTTATTGCATTTCGACCATTAATTTCAAATTTTTTCACATGTTAAAAGGTATTACAGTTATTTTATTTTTAATCTTGTTTATTACCAGAGAGTGAAGTTGAGGAAACCTTCCCATTCTTGTCAACTGAATACATTCCATTATTTACTGTTCCTGCTGCAGATTTAGTTAGGTTACTATCAAAGTAAAACACGTTAAGCTAAGCCCTCTTCAACTCACCTATTGTCTTTCTAATGATTACAGAATTTTTCATTTAACTTGAGGTTGTATTAATAATTCCACTCTCACTTTGACTTAGCTCTCTAAGTGGTTACTTGTTACTGCTAGAGACATCAGTATTTAGCAGATTATAATTGAATTATGGCTGATCATTGATTTTTGGGGATTAGTAGGGAGATCCAAAGGAGTTATCTATGGCATTGTCAGAGAGTACCTGGTTCTTGGGGCTTTTTGAAAAGGAATTTTGGCGGTTTATGGATTCTTTTTTAATCACGAGGATGTTCTTTTTTCTCTGATTCTGAGACTAATTCGTACCAAGAGTTCTCCCTCGTGTTAAACCTTCCTACTGTAAGACTGAAGAGCTGCTCAAATCTTTCTAGACAAGATGAAGATGTTCATTTCTTAAATGCTGATGCTCATTTTATTTAAGATTACTGATAAGTTACTTGCTCTGAAATAAGTTATCATTGATTCTGTGAGATTCAGCGACTCAGTTTGAGTTTTATTTTTGAAAGTTAAGTAGTCTCTCAAAAGTACTACTATCAAAAAGCCTATCTTTCTGAGCATTATCTAACGAGGGAGTTTTTAAATGGTGAGATTCACGTGAAAGTCTAGTCATTCCCACTTGGGAATTTTAATCATCCTCAAATGGTGAAGGAGGATAAAAAAGTCTTGTGAAATCTTGCATATCGATCGAATAAAATATTAAGGTATTTAATCTATATATTTGTAAATATTCAAATAAATTATTATCCAATTCGATTTTGAACCTATTTTCTCCTGCGGGGTTTTGGGGTTTTGGGGTTTTGGGG